GAGCCCCCTGGCCGGTGAGCTCCAACGCAGGCAGGTCGCTAGCTAGCTAGGTGGCGCCTTGACGCTCTTGAGTATGGAGAGGGTGGCGACGGGGTCGGTCGATGAGATGAGCGCGCCAAACAGCAGCGCCTCCGAGAAGGAGAAGTCCTGCGTGACGAAGCCATGCAGCGAGAGCGCGTAGGTGAGTCCGCCGGTGCAGAGGATGGAGATGAGGGTGCCCACCACCGCGTAGAGGAGGATGGTGCCAAAGTTGGCGAAGAAGGAGCGCTTGCGCATCACGAAGCCAGCCTCGAAGATGATCGGTGGCAGCAGGCCGAAGTAGATGACGTCGTGCATGTTCTCCGACATGGAGATGGAGAAGCGCCAGTTCTCCGAGCCGCCGCTCTTGAGGCGCGAGAAGGTCCAGAAGGCGACGTTGAAGGCGGCGCCAAGGAACATGCACGCACCCGTCTCTGTGACTCTTGTCCACTCCCGCTGCTCCATGTAGTGCCGCAACAGCAGTCCGGCCAGCAGAAGCGCGCAGATGACAGAGACGGAGAGCGCGGTCCCCGAGTCGGACGGCTCGAACGTTGGCGGCAGCGGCGGGTGCTGCGGAGGGGGCAGCGGCAGCGGCGGCGGCGGCCAGGTTGTTCTGTGCAGTGTAGTCGTCATGGCGAGGTTGCAGAGCTCGGCGCAGGGCTCTGCCGACGGCCGCAGCCAAATGGTGCAGGAAGAAAATGCTCAAGAAAAAGCGCACCCCAAGTGCTCCAAGTGCTCCCTGCGAGAGCGAGTGCTGGAAACGAGAGAGGTAAAATTAGAGCACATGATCGAGTCGGAGTCAGAAGGGTGGTCTGGGCCTCTATATGTTGGGTCAAGAGGCACAAGGGCGCCCCCAAAAGCCATTTAAAGAGAGCACAAACAAAAATAACACTGACGCATCAGCTCTTGTCCTATCGGCGTCGCTCCGGGCCCCTCCGCCCGCAGACCCGTTTTCAAACTACCAGACCCGTTTTCAAAGTACCAGCACGGGCCTGTCAGTACCCCGCCGACTTGTCCACCGGTGTGAGGAGCGGCCTGCCCGCCGCGGCCGCCTCCGCGTTAGCGACGAAGGTTGCCCAACCCGCCTCGAAGTAGTCGCTGGTCAGGTCGGCGTTGTGCGCCTAACGTGATGGGTGCCGGGCCGTGTATTCGGAGCATCGCGTGAATACAACGTGTGAGTGTGAGTGTTAGATTTGTTTGGTATTGCTAAAAATCTCTCTCTCTCTCTGAATGCACGGACCACGGGCTGAGGCCGAATACGTGTCGTCTCGAGTGCTGGTCTGAATCTTGGGTCTGGATCTCAACGAGCATCTAGGGTTGCACGCCGTGAGCAGCAGCCGCTCGCAGCGCCACAGCGGCGACTCGGCCGGGAGCGGCTCCTACTTGCAGCTCTGCCCGTCCACAACTCCGTGCATCCCCAGCTCCGGCTGTGAGGGAGGGTCGCCACCGCTGCCCCTCTGACTGCTGCGCGCATGCCCGGTGGTGGCGGTGCGTTCTCCACACGACGCCCCGTGTTTGTGTGTCCGCGCGTGCGTGTGCCTCGTCGCCCGCGCCACGCCATGCGCAGCACAGACGGACGGACGGACGAATGGAGCCCGCGCGACTCTCCGTCTTAGAGACAGGAGCTGGCCCGGCACTGAACGTGCAAGGCCCAGTGCGCGTGGTGGGTGAGCGGGTTTGCCTGCTCAAAGACGTCGAGCGCGGCGCCGCAGATGCGGCCGCGCGACAGCGCCGCGACGAGAGCCGCCTCGTCGACGACGTCGCCGCGGCCGAGCGAGATGAAGACGGCCGACTCCTTCATCGCCTCGAAGGCGGCCGCGCCTACCCGACGCGCCGCCGACCCTCTCCGACGCAGCCCTCGCTGCACGCCCCGACTGTAGACTGCGCGTGCGTGCGGCGCAGCACAACCGTCGAAGCCGCACGCGAGGCGTGCGATGTGGTCTGATCTGCGCGAGGTGCGAGGTGCGCCGTCTCCCCATATCTCCCCGCATCTCCCCATATCTCCCCAGTGGTGCGAGGTGCGCCCCCCCGTCTCTAGGAGGCCGCGCCCACAAAGTGGCGCGTCTCGCCCGTCGCGGGCAGCGAGCAGACGATGAAGTCGGCGGCGCCTGTTCACACACGCGCTGCCGTGAAGACGGCGTCTCTGCGCCACTCTGGGGCGCAACCTCTCGAGCCGGCGGGGCGCCGAAAAACGCGGCGCGGTCGTCGTAGCCGTACGTAGCCTCGGGCACCACCTCGCCCGCCTCGCCGCCGACGTTTCGTCGCAGCGCGATGATGCGCATCCCAAACGCCGCCGCTAGCTTCGCCGTCGCCCTCGCGATCGAGCCGTAGCCAAGCAGGCCCAGCGTCTTGCCGCGGAGCACATTCATCGTGAACCTCTCCCACCGCCCGGCCGCGCGGTTAGCCATGCAGCGCGGGACCTGCTTGTTGAAGTGCAGCGCCGCCGCGAGCGCGTACTCTGCGAGCGAGGACGTGAAGGCGCCGCGCGCATTGGAGGCGCGCAGCGTGTCGGGCGTCTCACGCAGGACCGGCGCGATGCCGTCGACACCCGCCGAGAAGGAGTGCAGCCAGGCGCACCGCGGCAGCGCGGCGAGCAGCCCACGCAGCGCCCCAATGTCGCAGCCCGGCACGGCCACGATGCCCTCGGCGGCCGCCGCGTCGGCGGCGTCGAGCTCCGAGGCGCTGCGCACAAAGCGCAGTTCGACCGAGGTGGGCGCCGAGGCTCGGCCGGGCCACTCCTCGGGAGGGAGGAGGACGACGCAGAGCATGGGGATGGTGGAAAGACCGGCCGCAGCACAGGGGTCCGGCTCCTAGCCAGAGTGAGTCTTTCGCTAAGCGCGGGTTAGCGCGGGTTAGTGCTCACTAACCCGGCACGGGTTAGCACGGGTCAGAATGGGTTACCATAACCCGGCACTAACCCGGCACTAACCCGGCACTAACCCGGCACTAACCCGGCACTAACCCATGCGGCTGGGGGGCATACGTCAGCATGGGTTATGGTAACCCGAGACTAACCCGGCGCTAACCCGGGTTAGTCTCTCCCTCGGACGGCTTGGCTGCACCTTGCCCCTTGGTGCTCTCCGCGGCAACGCCGTTATCGGTAAGTTGAGCGTGTATGGAGTGAGTCTATCGCGTATCGGTAAGCGCGGGTTAGCGTCGGGTTATGGTAACCCGTTCTAACCCGTGCTGACCCGTGCTGGGTTAGTGTGGCTTAACCCGGTGGAACCCACGGCTAACCCGCGCTTACTGACAGACTCACGCCAGATAGGGGGTCTGTCGCACCCTAGGCAATAGGGACGAACGTAGGTCCGGTTTTGACCGCCCTACAACAGACGTCTTTTTTCGCTTCGCTGCGCGGCCTGGGGATAGGTACAGTAGGTAGGTGGGGCGTTTTGGCGCGAGTCATGCCCTCACATGCTCATGCGCAATTAATTATGCGGACGATCACAGCAGACAGAGAAGAGAGTCTCTCTCACTCAGCAGACGAGGCGTGCGCGGCTCGAGAATAAAAATCGGAACGAGAAAAAATAACGTCCGACCCATGCCGCAAAGTCGAGGCGGTCGAAAGTTTCTTCCCCTAGGTGTACCTGTGTTAGTGCCAGTGCGCGCCAGTCCCGTGCCCAGTGTCGTGCGAGGGGGTTTTCTTGTAAAGTTCTTCCCCTATCGGCCGCCGACCTTCGCCGAAGGTGTCTCGTTCGAGCGCGCGTTTGGCGGTGCGCTCCCCGCACGCCGCAGCATCTCGCGGCAACACCTGGCCCCAGAGTACCCGCGCGGTATGAGAGCGCTCTGAGCGCTGGAGAGGCCGCGGCCCTGCATCGGACAGATCGGACACAAAACACAAAAAAAAAGAGGTGTGTTGAGTTGTTTGGTATTGCAAAATCTCTCCGCTCAGACAAAGTATTGCTAAAAATATCTCTCCGCTCAGATCGGTCAACGGGCACAAGATACCAGCGCCGGTTATGAGGCGGTGACCTGGGCGAGATCAACCTGAGCTGCTGGCGAGCGTGGACTACAGTCCGCCCCGGGCCGTACGTCCCTCCCCCCGGTTCTTCTCCTTCCTGCCCCCGACCACCACATCCACAAGAGACGCACAGTCGCATTTCACGAGGGCGACGCGCACGCACCATCACACATCTGCAACAAGTACCCCAAACAACACAAACCGGCCCAAGTCATTCACATGTGAACGCAAGAAGAGAGAAAAGAAGAGAGAGAAAAGTGAACGCACGCCGAGTGTGCGAAGATCTTGTGTGCATCAAGAAGTCTCGGCTTCTTACACAGCCCTTCCTCGCAGCGAGCCCCCTCCAACCCACCCGCGCTAGGTCTCGGGGGACGCAGGCACACCCGAGACCCGACAAACAGTTAGGGTTGTTAGAGAGTGTGTGAGAAGAACCTAGCTGTGAACGAGCGTCTTGGGTCCGTGGATGTGTTTTTGTGGGAAGGTGGACGAGTTGCTCGAGCGTCGGGACGAGCGGGCTTGCGCCACTGGTGGAGGATTCAGTATGCCGCAGGCGGCTCCCACCTCGATGGGTTATCACTCCTGCACTGGCATTGAAGAGGGGATCAACATTCAACAAACAGGAATCGAGGGTGACCGCATGTCTGCATCAGACGTGTCATCCGTCCCGATCGTGACCAACCAAAGCCACCCCTCTTCTAAGATCCGCGCTTGCCCGGATCCTGAACCCTCTGCCGCTCCCAGCCGCACCCGCCAAGCACCTGCCGCCTCCACCTCCGCCTTCAATCTCAATGTCCCACCCCCCTGCGCGCGGGCCTTCTAGGCCCGCGGGTAGTCTCCCCCCATCCCCAGGGCCTCCAGGGCTCGCACCTCAACCTCTCATAGACCAGCGCAAAGCCGATCGGACTTGGAGCACTCGTGCGTGCAGTCATCAGCCTCACATCCAGGGCCGGGAGGTATTTTCTTCTCAATAACAGGTCTGTGAACCATTCACGCATCTGCAACAAGTACCCCAAACAACACAACCTCGGAAACAAGAACCTCCCATGCGCGGGGCCTGGATTTTCTTTTCAACAAGAACCTCGCACCTCAACCTCTCATGGCGGAGCAAGATTTTCTTTTCAATGACTGAGATGAAGGCGTGCAGTACAGAGCCCGCCCAATTCACGATTCCCAGAAATGGTGGTCGTAAGATCCACGTCTACCGGTGCGCCGCCCACCGCGACATGTCGCGTCGCGCGCCGCCCCCGCCCCCGCGCTGGGGGGGCCCCCCCTTCCCCCCCCCCCCCTTCTCCGTGCGGCACGCCCTATAGGGCACCCACGCCGCGCCGCCGCGACAAGACCAGCGCATCTTCCTATGGCCATATCCTGACATAGATAACACATTCTTAAAACTCCTACATATCCCCCGCCCCCTTACCACCTTCAAGTTCCTTTACCTCACGTATGATCAATAACACTTTTCCAAAGCAATCTGGGCATTCTCCCTGAACAACTCCACAAATGTATACGTAGACTAATTCGAAAATTTGTTGAGTTGGAATTTTTCACTTTTCACATCTATGCATAACCCTAACGTTGCCCACCTATTATCATCTG